CTATCGATAGGTATTTTTTTTAAACAGAAATTGTGAAAAAAAAATCGCTGATTTAATTCCTTTTAAGTTTATTAAAATGTGTTTTTAGCAGTAATTTAAGGTTAATTTACATTATTAACGTATAAAATCTTTATATTTTTGTTAAATCTTAAAAGATATTCCAAAAAAAAGTCACTTTTACTTACTTTTTTTTAATTTTTCAGAACCTCATAACTTGTGAACGGGCAACTTTGGATGCGCGCTGATAGCGTAAGATTACAGTCAACAAGCCATAGAACAAGGCTTAAGTAGTTTCAAAGCAAGATCTGTCAAGGCTTAGTCGAAATCGACCACTTTATGTTTCATTCCATACAACGAAAATGGAAAATATTTTTTTCCAGTCAAACTGTTGGTTTTAGAGAAAAACTTGTGAAGCATTTATTCATCAGAATAACGTAACCTATCGATAGGTATTTTTTTCAAATAGAAATTGTGAAAAAAATCGCTATGTCCATAAATCTCAATTTCGCTCCATAGTGTGGCGTTAGTCACTTTGTAAATTGTTAATTAAAGGACAGACAGCAGTAGCACTGATTAGATAAATACTAATTCTTTCAGACATGACTAAACCTAAATGTCTAAATGTCTTATTCTTGATGAATGTAAATGTAACATTAGTCAATGAAGAACAAAGGTGCCTATCTACACCTTTCAATGTAACACCAAATGTACAGTGAACAGCACATCAGACAGCATTTTTGTTGCAAAAGTAGCTCTTATTACAAAAAACATAAGGTTTCACAGTGTTTACCTTCATGTGCTGTCGCCTGTACTTTTAGTTAATGTAAGGTAGGTAGGAGGTATAATTGTTAACGTTGTTAGTTTACATGCTAATCACATAAATGTACGAATAGGTGTTAACTTGCTTACTTATTATGCAATCACTAAGTAAATTTGCATGGCGCGACCTCAGAATCCTTTGATAAAAGTCACAACGTCATTGGCCAATATTAGAATAAAATTGGGTACAAGTTACTAAAGTAAATAATACTCAGATAAGCAAACATGATATAGCGAGCGAGGCCCAGCTACGGTCCCTAAAGGCATTCCCGTAGATCCGCTGTCGGTCATCATAATAGCCAATTCGTCGCCCTATTTTGTAGATAGGATCATCGTACCCTTTTATATGTTTGACATTTGAATTAAAACACAAGGATTCCCACAATGATTAGTTTTGTGCAGTGTAGCTACACGTCTATGGGCTACAGTTAAAGCTACCCATTTCTGGTCATGTCGTCTCGTTCTATCGCAAAGAATCACCATTTGATGAGAGCGAGAGAAAACATGGAAATGGGTAGCTGGAGCCACTGTACACTGCGTATTCCGGTCCGTGGTCGCCACTCGAGAACTTTCTGTCATCATGGCTATCAGCTCTATAAGCCATATGCCCTGCCCACTGGGACTTCAGCTGGGTAATTCTGCGGGATATCCTCATTTCTGATTCGATCACGTAAGGAGACTCCGAGCATGAAAGAGTAGTGTATTGGTGCGCGCAGTAGCAACCCTCCAACTCATACAGGCACCTACGGAAGACCAGCGTCTTTTGGCACCTGGACACATGCTGATGTACGCGTTATTTTAAAAGGGCTCATTCATTTTGTGTTCGTTCGCTTTAGCCAATTGACGTCCACTGCTGGACAAAGGCCTGCCCCAAGGATTTCCACAATGAACGGTCCTGCGCTGCCCGCATCCAGACTCTTCCCACGACCTTTACCAGATCGTCGGTCCACCTAGTAGGAGGTCCACGCTATGTCTTCCAGCCTGTGGTCGCCACTCGACAAATGAAATATTTCTGTCTTTCTTTCTTATCCAAACTTATTCCTCTTTTCCAACTTTCCAGGTCAAACAGTCTACTCGCAAGGTGCGGCTGCGACGCCGGTACCTCTACTGAATGCCATGACGGAGGTCGGCAAGGCTGGCTCCATGAAGGACATCAAAGTGGTCCACATGCACACGGAGAAAGACGCCGCGTATGTCGCGCCTGAGTACAAGGACATCTTCAGGTTAGTTAAAGCCCGGTCTGTGAGCACGTAGAATTTTGTCCAATGACCCCAAGTTAGCCATCCTTATCGCTCGCGCGTAATTATTTATATTGTTGTCGCGACTGTGCGACGGGCGCTCGCAGTAAGTGTGCGAGCGCGACAGCAACATAATTACACGCAAGCGATAAGGATGGGTAGCTTGGGGTCATCGGACAAAATTCTACGTGCTCGCAAACCAGACTATAGCATACGCCATAGGACGTCCACTGCTGAACATAGGCCTCCTCCAATGATTTCCATAATAGCCGGTTGGTGGCAGCCTGCATCCAGCGCCTTCCTGCTACCTTTATGAGTCAGTCCACCTTGAGGGTGGACGTTCTACGTGGCCTCCACTCCAGAACATTGCTGCCCCATCGGCCGTCAGTTCTGCGTACTATGTGCCCTGCCCATTGCCACTTCAGCTTGCTAATCCGTCGGGCTATGTCAGCGACTTTAGTTCGATTACGGATCTCCTCATCATTTCTGATTCGATCTCGTACATCTATCGTGGTTTCAATAGATCTATTAATAATAGTGAAGAGATCGAACTGGCGTCCTTTATAATCGGAAGGCCGAGCAACACCATTTATTTTTAACTAGCTTTCCGCCCGCGGCTTCGCCCGCGTGGAATTTTGTCTGTCACAGAAAAACTTTATCGCGCGCGTCCCTGTTTCAAAAACCGGGATAAAAACTATCCAATGTTCTTTCCCGGGACTCAAACTATCTCTATGCCAAATTTCATCAAAATCGGTTGCGAGGTTTAAGCGGGAAAGCGTAACAGACAGACAGACAGAGTTACTTTCGCATTTATAATATTAGTTGGGATACAATAGGGCAGGCAAACTTATGTCACCTCTTCGTCAAAATAAATTATAATATCCGTCTTGTACAAAGTTCCGACAAAATTGCGTCGAAAGCAAGGCAAGGTTTATCATACAGGTTACTGTTAACATGACCTTACATACAGCATAAATAAATAATCTTGCTTGGTATATCTATTTAACCGTTAATGACGCATTTCTTGCGTTTTTGCATTTGTTTAAGCCGTGTGGTGACGGCAGAGTAGAATACATTTGTCACCAACCCCTACTCTTCCCGCGGGTGTCGTAAGAGGCGACTTAGGGACTACACATCAAACAGAGAATGGGCAGCAGCGCTCTCTGAAAAACATCAATCTTTTAAACTGCGATCTCCAACCCGCCTGCCAAGCGTGGAGATTATGGCAAAGCCCTCCGCTATATTGGAGGAGGCTCATAGTCCAGCAGTGGACTGTAAAGGGCTGTTGATGATGATGATGACGCATTTCTTAATACTGATAAAATTAACGAGTTTTTATTACATCTTAATATTGCATAGTGCGTTGTTTACGAGTTTCTTATATCGGCAAAACGAGTTGGCGCCACGCCTACGCGTATAATATAACGCGAGTACAGTTAACATAAAAAGTTGCCCTTTGAATCTTATTACTAAAGTCACAAGGGTCAATGTTTGTCGAAATTGTGCATTCAGTTTATATCCACGTTTATGCTTATTTTGAGACTGACGATGTCATTGCCCGTATTATTGCTGGATTTGCAAAGGTTCTTTAAATTCTGGAAGGGGCAAAGAACTTTTGGTACGATTTGAGAAACCTTTAATAAGATTACTGTTACATTATGAAAAAGCCAAAGGGAGATAATAATTTCGCGGTAGACCAAAAAAATAGTAAGCTAAAGTGGCAGTGAGACGGCCATATCTATCGCAAAACCGATTAATATGGAATAAATCGGTTCTTAAGTAGAGATCAAGTCTTGGCAAACGTAGTAGGACGTTCCCTAATGGACTGACGACCTCAAGAAGATTGTTGGCAGTGTCGCTCTTTAGAAAAACTTTACTGCCTAGCAGTGGACTGCCATAGATTGTTATGTTATGATACATTTGCGTATTATCTGAAAAATACGAGTTGGTCCAGTTCAATTATTGACGTCATGCCTTGTTATGTCGTCGTAGAACGTATTAATGCCATAGTATTATTAGTATGCCATCTTGTGTTTACAATGTATTTTTGGGGGGCAGATTCTTTGGCTGTTGATAGTATAGTAGTTACATTGACAAATGAGTAGCCATTGTAGTTTTATGAATCATTAATAGTACATACATATCATCAATCAATAGTATGTCATTGATTGTTCATCAATAGTATGTCATTGATTGTTCATCACAGCTGATGGCTTAGAATGGAAATAAACTTTATACCTGTCTAAGTATCTGATTGAACTCTTTCGGAGGGAAGTGACAAGCGTTTTTATCACTAGCTTTTGCCCGCAGCTTCACCCGCGTGAAATTTAGTTTGTCACTGATCTTCATAAATTATAGCCTATATGTTATTCGGGGTTATACCACAGAATAATAATAAGTACTATACACAATAATACTGTAAAGTTTTATCAAAATCCGTTCAGTAGTTTTTGCGTGAAAGAGTTACAAACATCCAGACATCCAAACTTTCGCATTTATAATATTAGTAGGACTATACACTTAGTACAGTCGATAGCATTATCAGACTATCTATAATTTTATGTTGCACAATAGCATCTTTTACAGGTTCTAAAAATTATATGGGTATTTAGTGTTTAGTATGATGCTCTGCTTAGTTCGGGACTAAATGATAGTTGTGATAGTATAACAAACTCGAATATTAGTCCCTCGTACATGGGCATACCAAACTTCTTTTTGACTCCTTATCACCCAGATGGGGCTTACATATCAGTTGTCAGGTACCTCAATTGAGATAAACACATCTTTATTGGCACTTATAGATAACTGATAAGACTCACGTCAACGCATCGGTGTTTTTGGTTGCTGGGTTTCCGTTGAAGGTCAAGGAAACCTGACATGTTATGTGAGCATCATGATCTGTAGAATCTATGTAGCTTAATGGGCCAGTAGGTACCTACTCATTATTTATGACTAGCATGGCTTTAGGTCAAGGCCACGATACACGTGGTCGATTTTCTACTCTTACCGTGACTTCATGCTTTATGTGTCGCCATAGCTAGGCGTTTGAAATTGCTGTATCTGACCTGAATTTTATAATATTTTTTTTTCACTTTTTGAGATATTACATTATTTATTTTCAGACCATTAGGTTTAATTAAACTCAGATCCCTTTTCCAGGGCCTTTTTTAAGCCTTTAGGGTAACCTATATCCAAACTGGGTACAAATGTTTTCAACCTGTACACCACCTAAGAATCTTACCCAGATCTTCTAGTCTAGAGTCTTTAAAATTGTGATCACGGGACCAATAATGCACAATCCGTCTAGTTTAAAGACAATAAGTCGAAACGGCATTTTATCTTCAGATAAAAGTTTTTCAGTGTCTGTAAAAATGTACGAGTAACATTCGATTTCAATTCGAGATAGCCGATTGTAAAAACGACAGCACATAAAGCATAAACATAGTATCTTAAGTCGTTGGAATGGGTACGATTTTGCAGCAAAATTGTGCATTTATCAGTGTGCTTAGTGCGAGTTTGCATTGAAAAAATCTATGAAGATTTTAGTTCTTGAAAGTACCCGCTAGGGACGCACACTATCATACATTTATTGTACGTTTGATGTAAACTCGCACTAAGGCCCCAGATAATAAATTTTAATACTGTCTACTGTATTGCACTTTGTAGGTATTGACTATGAAAAATGTCTCGAGAATTAATGAAATCATGACCAAGCTATCATTATGTAATTTACACAGATTAATAAAACAATATCTGTGTGTCCTTGTCGCACGTTGTTTACCTCGTGATGCTATTGAGATAACTAGAACTATAGTTGATGCATTTTACCTTTTAAAATTATTGTATTGTATACTACTTTTTCCCGTGGCTTCGCCCGCGTAATGCCTGGTTTCTTCCACTAAGGCGGAGCGGAGCGGAGGTATTCTGTCAATTTCATCCAATCTGAATGAAATCTGTTTGGTTATTCAAAATATTTTTGCACTCTGCTCCGCATTGGTGGAAATCGGGCCTAAAGCTTCAACCACACCAACGCATGCAGACCACGCGACCTGTCATTGGCCTATGATCGCACCGGCGATGACGATCTGCACGCGTTGGTGTGGTTGCAGCTTATGTTTCGGACAGTCATAAATGTCTGGCGACCGTGAACAAAAAACCTACTAGACTAAGAGCTACTGAACGCCAGACCTACGTTATTTTATAAAGGCTGAAAGTTTGTCAGCGCATGCTCCCAACATAGCTAAGAACCATGGCCAAACATGAAGTTTGGGTCATGGTGGCTTTGGCAGACAGACGGTACTAAAGGTGTGTAAAATACCAACTTAATTACGTCAAAGTATAAAGGCTGATTTTTTGATATTTCCTTCAAAATGTTATTAGAAATGACGTCATTAATTGACAGACACCTACCATGGTGGCAGTCCTTAGCCAGACACCTTAAAGTTCATGAAAATGTAGTCCTACTTACGTCATACTATAAAAGCTGATATTTACATAAAATATTTGAACTATCATTTGATGAAGTTTCCTCATCAGCCAGACACTTCTGATGGTTCCTTCGCCTTGCCAGACAGCTTTTAGGGTGGCTGAAAGTGCGAACGCGAGGCACTATAAATATTGTTTTTTGTACTTTTTCTTAAGTTACTCAAGTATTTGAGTCTGTAAATCATCATCTCATGTTGATGAGCTGATGATGGAAGGTAAGTACAACTCCTTAAGGCTTAGGAGTTGGAGGACAATTCCTTAACCAGTATATATAAGTATAGTTTCTAAAGTTATTTGGGTGTTTGCATCAGCTAGTCATCATCCCATGTTGATGGAAGGTACAACTCCTTAACGCTTAGGAGTTGTAGGATAATGCATAGTATAATCAAATGTATAGTATCAAATAATACTATAACAATTCTATATTGAATTAGGACCCCCAAATCCTCACTAGAATTTATATACGCGGAAAATGTGGTGCCACAAATTTTATCTTCAAAATAGTTGCTAAACGCCTAGAGTAAAGTTCTTAGCAACATTAGCATTAACATAGGTAATGATAATGTTGCTAAGAACTTTACTCTAGGCAACTTTCAGAGGTAATCACTTTAAAATTAGGGATTACCTAAGCCTTAAGGAGTTGTACTTACCTTCCATCATCAGCTCATCAACATGAGATGATGATTTACAGACTCAAATACTTGAGTAACTTAAGAAAAAGTACAAAAAACAATATTTATAGTGCCTCGCGTTCGCACTTTCAGCCACCCTAAAAGCTGTCTGGCAAGGCGAAGGAACCATCAGAAGTGTCTGGCTGATGAGGAAACTTCATCAAATGATAGTTCAAATATTTTATGTAAATATCAGCTTTTATAGTATGACGTAAGTAGGACTACATTTTCATGAACTTTAAGGTGTCTGGCTAAGGGCTGCCACCAAGGTAGGTGTCTGTCAATTAATGACGTCATTTCTAATAACATTTTGAAGGAAATATCAAAAAATCAGCCTTTATACTTTGACGTAATTAAGTTGGTATTTCACACACCTTTAGTACCGTCTGTCTGCCAAAGCCACCATGACCCAAACTTCATGTTTGGCCATGGTTCTTAGCTATGTTGGGAGCATGCGCTGACAAACTTTCAGCCTTTATAAAATAACGTAGGTCTGGCGTTCACTAGCTCTTAGTCTATACGGTTGTAAAATCAACAATCCTTTCTCCATATCAAATAGGTATCGAGTATTCAGATTTCAGATAAATATGTTTATGCAAATAAAGTAAAATTCTACCTTTGCAAATGTCAAGCACATAATTAGCACCTTGTTAACAAGCATTTTATGTTAAACGTGATTTCAAAAGGTAAAACAAAATTTTTACTACAAGAACTTTGTTGACAGGAAAGTACCTACATGATGAACAGTTATTGTTTTACCTTACGCTCATAATTATGTGACACGGCTGAAGGCACGAACATGCTACATACACTCGGCATCAAATAAACCGCACCTACCGCGACAAGCACTTTCAAACGTATGCAACCCCATATCCCACCAATATTGGCAGTATTGGCACCATTTAAAAGCCTAGTTCTAAACTTCATTTCATTAAAGGAAAGGTTTTTTTTTACCCCAAAAATGTGTCTTTAGAAGGATTCAGAGTCACTTAATAAAAAAATAGGTAGTTACGCTTGAGCCAACTTTTATGGCTATAAAACTGTTAAGTTGCAATTAATCGCTATCCATCTGTTAAAGAGGACACGTGAGATCATTATTTGGTATTATAACCATAAAAATTGGTCTAATTGATCCCAGAGGTGAGCCCAAAGTGAGGTCTCTTTTCAAGTCACATTTATGGTATATGTTAATCATTTAATAAGAAATTAAATGTGTTTTTCTTTAAGGATATTTATTGGGCTTTCAAATAACACCAATATTGTTGGGGCACCATGATTGTGTCAGAAGACAATCTTTAAAGTGCGCGTCGCGGAAGGTGCAGTTTATTTGATGTTGAGTATATTTTGACTAAGGTAGAGTTAGGGCGTGTAGGTAGAGTAAGTGCCTTTTTCCTGTGATGTAAATTTCGGCACGCTCTTTAGATTAAATGTCCGAGTAATCACGCTGCTGATTGCGTGCGTGTAAAGCCTGGTCCGTGAGCACGTAGAATCCCGTCCAATGACCCCAAGCTACCCATCCTTATCACTCGCGCGTAATTTTATTGCTGTCGCGATTGGGCGACGCGCGCCCGCAGTGAGTGTGCGAGCGCGACAGCAACATAATTACGTGCGAGCGACAAGGATGGGCAGCTTGGGGTCATTGGACGGGATTCTACGTGCTCACGGACCAGGCTTTAGTCAGCGTAATAGGAAAAACTTATAAAATAATGAAATGCAGGCAACACGCATGCGGAGCAGATTCACATGCGCAAAAGGTACTTAGAAGCTTGGTTCTACATGAGATCTAATAACTTTTTCACATTTTAATGTTTTTGGTGGGATTCGATTTCTCAATCGCATTGTAATTGTTCCAGGTCGGTCTCTCTCTTCATGGCGGCGAACGTCCGCAAGTCGGTCGCTGAAGGCCGCTCGGACGCCATCCCGATCTTCCTCCAGGACATCCCCAAACTGTTCCACAGGAAGATCATCCAGCCCGACATCGCTGTCATCCAGGTTAGCAGGCAATATTCAAATATTCTGGCCCTAAAGCAGAGTAAATACAAATGAGTAGGTCATCTTCATAGAAACGTCCGAGCGCGGTTTGTATGTGAGATCTCTGTGAGCTATGTGGACTATCCACCCACTAGGTGGACCGACGAACTGGTGAAGGTCGCGGGAGGTGCCTGGATGTGGGAGGCGCAGGACCGGTCTTTGTGGAAATCCGCGGGAGAGGCCTTTGTCCAGCAGTGGACTTCATTCGGCTGAAACGAACGAACGTAATTAATTACCTTTTAATCTTCTTGTATGTCGTGTAACCAAACCTGCAAGAACCAACAAGCTATATTTGTTTTTCGTTGACCTCCTTGATTTAAAAGTGCCATGTTCAGAACATTATGAACAATCTATGTAGCTAGTTTCCCTATCTAAAGCCTGGTCCGTGAGCACGTAGAATTTTGTCCAATGACCCCAAGCTACCCATCCTTATCGCTCGCGCGTAATTATATTGCTGTCGCGACTGTGCGACGGGCGCCCGCAGTGAGTGTGCGAGCGGTCACGGACCAGGCTTTAGTTAAATCGATATAATAATACCACGATTAAAATTATATCGTGACGCGAATCTTGGGCAGTTGTTTTACAAGGTCTTATGAATTTTTGCTAATCTGTCCAGGTGTCTCCCCCAGACCAGCACGGCTACTGCAGCCTGGGGACCTCGGTGGACTGTGTCAGGTCGGCGCTGGTCAACTCCAAGACTATCATCGGTAAGTCTTATATAAGTGGCAAATCGAATAAGGTCACCCGGGGCGAACGCAACTATGATATACTAGCGGTCGCCCGCGATTTCGTACGCGTTTTTCCCCCTTAGGGGTTGAATTTTGGAAAATCCCCTCTTAGTGAGCACCTAAGTTCTAAAAGGAACCCCCATGCAAAATTTGAGACTACAAACACTTGTAGTTTGTGAGATTTCGTGATGAGTGGGTCAGTCAATCAGTGACCTTTCGCTTTTATAGATATAGTAGATGAGGTTTAAGTGACTAATGCCCGTTTTCACCATCAATCCCTAATTTTAAAGCGACTTTTATGAAATATAAGGTAATACCTAACAGGAATTTCGTTTTCACCAACACATAAGGAACAACTTAGGCCTTATGGGATCACTTTAAAACAGGGGCCCGATTTTCGGCCGCCTAAGTGTTAGGTGACAGTTATATTGTCAATCACGCCTATTCGGCAAAATGGAAACTGAATTTAATGATTTTTTTGAAGCTTTTTATGCAATTGAGACAGTGGAAACACTCTTTCACTCAAGTTTATTCAGGCGGCCACATAATAATATTATAGAGTGAGACAGGATTACATACGGTATAGATAGTAGGTATTGGTCACTCATAACTTCTCATAACCAAGCTATATTTCTGGCTTCGTTTGTAGTCCCTAGAGCCCTAACAATACCTTATAATTAGATATAATAAAGATTTGATAGGAAGGAGGGCTGCACTAAGGCCTCAGTGGGGGTAAATGAAACACAACGCGGACGGTTGATATCTGGTTTATTACTGTTATGCTATTGCTATATACAAGATTTACACAATTCAATGTGTCCAGTCCAATGTGCCGTCGGTGTAGAGTGCCTACGGTGCACGTTGAGGGTTCATGGGCCAGTCGGCTAGCACGTAGGTCGCGGTCGATGCTGACGTGCTCGTACAGTATCCTTGTGGGCAAGTAAACCAATTTATCTTTTTCCTTGAGGGAAAAATTTTGCTTCATTTCTTTTTTCCATTGTCGTTTTTATCGTTAAATCGCACAAAACTACACACAGAACTCAACAAAATATCTATCAAAATCAATATGTACACATTGTACATTTTTATTTTCATTTAATGTGGTGCAGCAGTCATCTTGACATTTACTTTTTTTAAGGCAAAGGAATTACATTATGCACCCAAACCACAGATTACATAATAGCCCAAATATCTTTTTTGTCTTTAATAATAACTCAAAAATACAAAAAGACATCAGTTTTGGTCAACTATTTCTTAGTTTTACTTTTATTTCATTTGTTTCTGTGAAATATGTAAGACATTCCCAATAAAATATTTTATCGGAAATTACCGGTTTTTCAAACGTCACTAGGCGCACGAAGAAACGCCACCTGACAAAAGAGTCCCTACTTAGGTTTACTATAGCATGGTGAAAACGAACTTAGGTTAGTGGGCAGTTTAGGCGATCGTTTAACCAAAGTGATGTTTAGTTAGCAAACGCTTAAGGGATTGATGGTGAAAACGGGCATAATTGATTTTCTTCTTAAATGATGGATTTTGAACAAAGTGTCATTTGTTGAAGCATAAAAAAGCAATAATTGTTCTATGTTTCAACAGATGATACTTCACACAAAATCAATCAGGTTAAGAATAAAATCAATGAAGTCACTAGCCTCATAGTTGCTTTCGCCCCGGGTGACTTTATTCGGTTGAACACCGGTAGGACTCCTCAAGGAACCAATAAACAAAAGTTTAATAGTCACTTTCGGATTTTTAGCAATAATGGCATAAATAAATATAAATTATAATAACTATTGTAAATCAGAGGGCAATGTACTGGAGTGATAAAACATTCACGTCACGTCTCGGCTGCAATGACCTGAAAAAACAGCAATTACTTTTAATGCTGAGTAAATAATAATATAAACTTATGACACTTTTCTCACAAAATATAAACATAAGATAAATATTTAACTAAAACAAAACTGTCTGTTTACGAAACAGAACATGTTATTCTTCTTTTGTTACTTTATTGCGATTTGATTGGCTATTATAACTAAACCCTTTGAAACTGGGGTCTGGGTATTGATAAGTCCTAAAACATTTTTATACTAATCTTACGTCCGATTTCACCATCAATCCCTAATTTTTAAGTGACCCCTATGATAACACATAACAGGAATAACTTAAAAACTAGGGATTGATGGTGAAAACGGGCATTAGGTCATTTTATACAACGCCATCTACTCCCAAGCTAAGCAAAACTTGTCCCATATAAAATAGTTACGTCTTTCTCTATCCAGCACAAGTAAAAGTCAACTTGCCTCGAAACCATGTCCTACAGAATTAACTTAAAAATCTTCCATCTCCTTCCAGCACAAGTAAACGTCAACATGCCGCGTACCTTCGGCGACGCCATCATCCATATGTCGCACATCGACTATGCTGTGAGCGATAACACGCCGCTGCCGGAACACGGGGGAAAAGGCGCCAGCCCTGAAGAGATCAAGATCGGACAGCTGATTGGAGAGAATCTGGTGGAAGATGGAGCCACTTTGCAGATGGGTAAGAATTAGAAATATACTGGTAACTATAAAATGTCAATTCCTGGTTTACTTAAGCTTTTGAAGAGATGTTCCTGGTCTGAATACTGGGACAAAGGCGTCAGCCCTGAAGAGATCAATATCGGGCAGTTGATTGGGGAGAACCTGGTGGAAGATGGAGCTACACTGCAGATGGGTAAGAATTAGAACTATACTGGCATATAAAGGACAATTCTTGGTCAATATAGACTTTTGAAGAGATTGACCTGGTCTGAATACTGAGGCAAAGGCGCCAGCCATCATAAGTCTCAGATATTAGGCAATTGGTTTGAGCATGGGGCAAAGGTGCCAGCCCTGAGATCAAATCTGAGATGACCCAATCCTCTTATAATAGCGACTTAGTGCACTTTTAATGTCCTGTGGATTTGCTATCGCATGCGTTACACAACCTATTATTGTAAAGTACGGGTCATCCGCATGCCGTACCATTATGCAACCCGGAGAAACTGAAATTCAAAGTGTGTGTGACATTATTTTTACGTATGTGACCCAATCCCGCGTGCGTGAGCAAATCCGCATGACACTGAAACACCCAAATTAAATGACCTGATGATGAATTCAAGGGGACCTCTCACGTGCGATGTTAATTGTATCTTGCAAAAGATATTTACGTAGTCTTTCGTCACCAGGAATCGGCAGCATCCCGGACGCGGTGCTGTCCTGCCTGAAGAACCACAAGGACCTCGGCATCCACTCGGAGATGTTCAGCGTGGGCGTCATCGACCTCGTGCGCCGCGGCTGCGTCACTAACAACAAGTGAGTGGGAATTATTTTACCACTGAAAAAATAATTTATTCCAGTGTGGACCTAGAGTCGACATGAGAAGTTATTTTTGTTGCGCCGCGGCTGCGTCACCAACAACGAGTGGGAATTATTTTCCCACTGGGAAAACACTTAATTCCAGTGTAGACCTACACTACAGTAGACATAAGAAAATATTTTTGTTTGTCAACAACGAGTGGGAATTATTTTCCCACTGGGAAAAAGCTTTATTCCAGTATGTGGGAATTATTTTCCCACCGGGAAAACACTATTCCATTAGGTGGGAATTATTTTCCCACTGGGAAAACACTATTCCAGTATGTGGGAATTTTCCCACTGGGAAGAGACTGTTTATTCCAGTCAACATGACATTTTTGTTGCAAAAAGAAACTTGTCGAGTCCGCAGTGCTAGCTTTTCTGCTCTATGCTTTCATGGAAGCGAAGCCGTTACAGATAGATAATAATTCTTCAACAGTCATTTGAAAAGTATTGTGAAACGTCGAGGACACGCATTTTTCCATTTATTTCACCATGTACGTTATGCAACCTAAAAATAATACCCCTTACAGCTGCATACAATGCCAATGCCACACCGTTTAGCGAGATGTGCTATCGTATCGTATCTATTGTTACATTCATAAAAAAGTTGTGTATAAGAATTATTTAAATTATTGCTAAGTGATGTCAACTACCCAATAAAATTTCGGTTGTCTGGAATCATGTCATTCAAGGGGTTAAATGTCACAAAAAGCCAGATAAAAATGATTCATTCTATTAAAAAACATTAAAACTTTGTATTAATAAAACTGTTGGATATTTCAGGAAGAAAAATCACAAGGGACGCATTGTGGGCAGTTTCCTGGTCGGCAACAAGGAGTTGTACGATTTCGTGGACAACAACCCCTTCATTGGTGAGTGTGGCATTTATTAGAATCAAATAATATTATGCTAACCCAATCCCACTAATTCCTACTAATATTATAAATGCGAAAGTTTGGATGTCTGGATATTTGTTACTCTTTCACGCAAAAACTACTAAACGGATTTTGTTGAAACTTTACAGTATTATTGTTTGTAACCCAGATTAACATATAGGCTATAATTTATGCCGATCTGGGACACTAAATTTCACGCGGATGAAGCCGCGGGCAAAAGCTAGTACTAAATAAATACCTCCCCCAAAGATTTCTACGATTGTCTTTTGCGCTGCCTGCATCCAGACCTTCGACAGATCGTCGGTTAACCGAATATTTTTGTCTTTAACAGCCACCATAGCTGCCCTGCCTACTGCTACTTTAATTTGGCAATTTTGCCGACCTTAAGCTACGTTTAATTTGTTTTTCCTTTCGATCACGCAGGAAAACTCCGAAAAAAGCACGCTCCATCGCCCTTTGAGTGACCATGATTGGGCCTTCTTATTAGGTCTATATTAAGTGACCGCGTCTCTTTTCCGTATGTCATTGCTGGCAACACACCAGTGTGTTGACCAGTTGACCAGTGTCAAAGAATTTGTTCTTGAGACACGTGTGGAAGGCCGGTACGGGCATTTGTCTATGAATTCGACAAAAGCTGTAAATGAGCTAGATAGGTTAGAGAAATGCTACACGGCCGTCGACGTTGCAGTGCTCTCTTAGGTTTGATAACGAAATAAACATTTTTCATTTCTTTTTCCCCGTTTGACAACGAAATATTATAAACATTTGTTTTTTCCTCAGAAATGTTGGAGATCGACTATGTGAACAATACGCACATCGTGTCTCTACAGCCGACCATGACGGCCATCAACTCCTGCATCGAGGTGGACCTCACCGGCCAGGTCTGCGCCGACTCCATCGGTCAGTATGCCCTCAGATCTCGGAGTAAGGCTAAGACCTCATTCGGACTGCAGACTGAAATAAAAACATTGCCTATTCGAGCATTTAAGACACGCTTATTTAAATTATTGGCTAGCAAATGTTATTACACAGTGCAGGAATATTTAACAGATAAGTCAATAAGAGTCTTTGAATAATTATATTGATGTGATAAATTATTATTAGATGACATTTGCAATTATGTATGTAATCGTTATTGAATTATGCTTGGTGAATCTTTGACATCGACAATTTTTGAATTTTTGACATTGAGTATCTATATTGACATTTATATTGACATCTTTGATCCGTGATCCGTCTGCTCGTTTGCCTCCTATCACATAAAAAAAAAATCTTTCATTGATAATATTTTAATGTAATTTGTTGAAATGTTTAATAATTAATTAATTTAATATTTGCATGTCAGAAATGACTAATTGTGAGACCTAACCATTAACTGTATCCATCTCCTGTACCACATTTATAGCAAATAACATGGACCTATAAAAAAAGTCGGACGGATTCTCATCAACAAAATACTGTGACATTAGGATATACCAGCTCGCCTGTACGTACAGGCCGGCACGCACACATTCATACCCTGATACACCACTTCGAGTGCAAACTTCACACAGTTGACACATTTACGCGGCGAAAAAAAAACACAAATACGACATGTCTTGCGTGGTAAAATTGGGTAAAAACCGTTCTGATCGAACGAACAAAAATCAAGGAATCACATTTCACAGGTAAACTAATAATCTAATCACTTATTTCCCCGATTTTATAAACATTAAAATATTAAAATCAAACGTCAATCACCCGACAAAATAATACGTCAAAAGCCAGTGTTCTCAGTTATTTACGTGGGAAAATTACCCGAAAAGTGGGAAATCTATAATTTTAAGACTTTTTAGGTTTTTATTACGCATACTATAGAAATAAAATAATGTATCATAATAACTGTGTTTTAATGGGATAATATATATTTTCGTAGGCAGATTTGATCCTTCCCAAGGGCGTGGAACTACGAAATTCAAATTTTCTTATATTTTTGCAAGTCAGTGTCAGGTTGTTTGTTAAAATCTATCAGAGATAATAATATTGATGATACATAAGAATATGATTACGTACCTACGTAATCATGTGTACCTACACAAGATTGATAATTTGTAACTGCGTGAATCGTACCTGACACTGACTTGCAAATAAAGTAAGAAAATTTGAAAATTTCGCGTCTACCTCAACGTATTCATCTTTCATCCTTTTCAAACGGCACGATATAATTTCGTCTACATTTCCAAGTAACATATCTGCCCATCTATGTTTTTCTTAAGATAAATGGGTAAAATGTTTTGGCTAACATGGCATCCCTAAATTCACTCACACAATAGACAAACGCCAAAATTTTGCGTCACAGTTTTGTTGTAGCGCGAGTTCCGTCCGCCTTTTTTTATAGGTCCATGGCAAATAAATGATGATTCTGATTCTGATTCTGCACTAGCGGGTGGATCTTGGTATCTTCGTGATCACAGTGCCTAAAAAGTTATAAGTGTCAGACGCTGTATCACAGCTGGTATCGATACGGGCTGACTGAGCCATTAGAAACGCCTGCGCTCGCCGCGTTCAGATATGGGTGACTGAGGTTTTGAGTCTGCTAGTTGCTCGCCGGTGCAGCGGGAGCCGCAAAGAATCCCGCACGCTGTAGGCCTAAATTACTTTAATTTTTACACAATATCTGTAGGTATTCTACAGAAGCTGCGTGTAAAAACCGCTTTGTGAGTTCTTATTCTAAATGACATTGCTCCTGTCCGAATACACTTATAAAAAAATCCATACCCATGCATGCATAGATGAAGGATGGAGGTGTTCGTAGCCACAGGATGACCCGGCACACATATCAAATGAAGAGGTGGAATCAAATCTATTTTATAAATTAGTAGCAATCCCTAATGTATGCCTAAATACGCGTCAAAATCGTCTATTGGAACCAAAGACTTTGAGAGTTAAACTTTTGAGAGTTTAAAAGTTAACTTAAAGAGTTTAAGAGTCTAATGTGTATTAAATAAAATAAGGTTAAAATTCTTCCGCAGGAACCCGTATGTACTCGGGTTTCGGTGGTCAGGTGGACTTCATCCGCGGCGCGGCGGAGGCGGTGGACGGGCGCGGCAAGCCCGTCATCGCGCTCGTGTCCACCACTCGCAAGGGCGAGTCCAAGATCGTGCCCACGCTCAAAGTCGGTGAGTGAGAGAGGGCAGCTACCCTACATACGTACCCCATAGGCTAGACAGCCCCCTTCCCTTAACTAGACTGCTCCCCCTTTGACCAGACTTGGTCTAGACTGCCCCACACCCTGGACTAGATTGTCCTGCACCTGGACTAAACCCTCCTCCCCTGGACTATATCCCCATCTCCTGGGCTAGACCACCTCCCCTGGATTAGACCCCCTCCCCTGGAATAGACCACCTCCCCTGGTCTAGATCCCGCTCCCCTGGACTAGACCCCCTCCCCTGGACACTAGATCCCCTCCCCTGGACTATAACCCCCTCCCCTGGACTATAACCCCCTCCCCTGGACTAGAACTTCTCCCCTGGTCTAGATCACCTCCCTTGGTCTAGATCCCCCTCCCCTGGACTAGACGCCCTCCCCTTGACTATATCCCCCGCTCCTGGACTAGATCCCCATCCCCTTGGCTAGATCCCCCTTCCTCTGGCCAATGAGCTCCTTACTGAAAACTTTATTTATAACATCAAAAGACACTTTGTACTACATCTTACCTCTTTCTAACACAGGTGCCGGAGTAGTGACAACCAGAGCACACGTCCACTACGTGGTCACAGAACAAGGTATCGCATACCTCTTCGGCAAGACTCTCCGTCAAAGGGCCTACGAACTCATCAAGATCGCTCATCCAGACCACCGCGAAGCCCTCGAAAAAGCCGCCTTTGAACGCCTCAAGTGCATGCCTGCACCTTGAAAGAAAAAACACTCAAAACCCACGCCCCAAGCCGCAACCTTAAATTAAAAAAAAACAAAATGTGTTGTCAACGAAAAAATCCTACTACTTTAGTAGTTTTTAGCAATAAGCGTAACTGTTGTAGCCTACTCTGCCGCAGTGGGCGTTGTATAGTATTTTATTTGTAAGTATTATGACAAATTCCGTATGCATTTCGTTATTGGCAGATGTTTGTTAATGCTAGAGTCTTTACTAGTTACCTAGTCGTTCGATAGCTGGAAATGCCTTATACACGTCAATAGTAAAAATAGTCTAAGCAATGAAAATAGTAAAAAATAGTGTAATGTAAGCGTAAATCATTTTGATCCTTTTTGTAATCACTACGAAGTTTATTTTATTTTTATTAACGAATTTACGTAAAGGAATCAGTGTATTTTTGGTGTTTTTTTATTTATTGTTAAATTACATGAATTTGTCTGTATAGACTACAGTGTACACTTTATTTTGACTTTTTTTTATAAATTACTTACAATAAATATGTAATTTTAATAAATCGCATTTTATTAATTTAACGCCCTTTCATCAGAATCAACACTAGGCTTTCAGATCAGCACCTGCAAGCTCCTGCTAACATATTAGCACATGCATATTGCACAATGTAGCTTTTTATAAAATAATATAAAATAAAGCTAAAAAGAGAGGCCCACGGCCCACCACATTGGTTAAAGTTCGAACTCGAGGGATATTTTTTTCCCTAGTCTATCTGATGATGATGTTAGTTACTTTTTCACGCAAAACTGCTGAATGGATTTTAATGAAAATGATAGTAATTTCTCATTTCATAATACTTTTTGGGGTAATGAAGACATAAATGGCCATGAAATGCAGAACCATGAAACTTTCAAAAAGTAAGCTAGGCCAGACGCTTAGGAATACGTAATATACAGGATGGAATAATCGTAATGACGCCTGATGTGAAAGTACTCCTGTCGATAGAAATATTTAAGTAATCAAAGTAAACATTCCTTTATTTTTGAAAATAAAGAGAACTGCATTCAAAGATCGTTGGCTCTGGCTCAGCAGGCCTCACCCCTATTCAGATAATGTTAAAGACCAGTTCTTTATGAAATTATTAGAGCAACCACGACTAACTTGGCCAACTCAAAACTGTTTCTTTTCTGTGTTGAATAAATATTATCATATTTTTTTGATTAATTTTAATACACCAATAATTACATAATTATGTTATTATAGAAAAGATTTACTTGCATTTATTAAACTTTAGGTGTTTCAGCAGCATTCTACCGATTTCCGAACGTAATGTAATATAAAAATATAATGCGACCAAATTATGTAAACTACGGCAAAATTTGTAAACTAGCTTTGTGTCTCGCTTACACCTACCACTGCTCCGTAATACACTAGCGCCAAATCTTTCTACAAATAATTACTAACAATCAGTTCTAGTTGGTCAAAGTAATACGTCAAATCTTCATTTCATTCATTTTTCTTTCAGAAAAAGCCAGCCACAAATCTACAAATAAATGGAATGTTAGCGTGTCAGAACTTGTTTTTAGTGTTTATTTGAGTATTTTGTGTGAATTTGTTACAAAATTTTGTCATTTTAGTTTCTTTTACGTGAAACCTTTTACAATGACGTCGTTCCAGCAGATGTTAGCATTCAAAAGAGAGTTGTTGATCACTGGAAAATACAGGATCATTCGAAGAATTGGTGGTGGTTCCTTTGGTGATATCTATTTGGGAATAAACGTGTCAAACGGCGAGGTAAGTGGATAACAAACTTGTTGATCATGTGGTAGTGTTGACCTGGCCGAGTTACCTGTTCTGAAAATACCTTGTGGGTTGGCTATTGTGAAACTCGGTGACGGATCACTCTCAGTGAGGACGGCCAAATGTTAACCTACATAGGTATTGAGGTGCATTCTATAATGCACTCCGATTTGATAACAATGCGCCTAGTTTCGTACTCTTTAGAAAGTCGTTTTCGTAAATGTAATCACATGTTTTGACCTACAAATAAGGTCAGGCTGTTTGTTGATGAATGAAAACTGTTTCCTTTTACTAATCTGCACCTAAAATTAGATGGCCTTTCCAAATGTTTGTAGCCAAACATTGAAACATCACCATTATAAGTCATAATCATTTTGTGGTTGTGTGATTCAGGTTATTCTTTGTTTTGAGTGCTTGATAATAAAGTGCTGATATCATAATAATGTCAATAGTATAATTAAATAAATATTGTTCCGTCCAGTTATTTGTTTGATATCTACCAGTGTGGTAGCTACAGTCATTGATATTGAGCTACCAGTAAACCACAGAACTTTTAAAGCCACAAAAAGATCATGTTACATGTAAAATGATGGCTTGAATGAATAATAATTGGACCCATTTATGCAAACAGGAACCAACCCACAGTTTGAGTGAAATTGAGTTAAGTACATAGATGGCGCTCAAATAACGCATTCTATCTTCAAAAAAATTATGGTACATTTTTAACGACTAACAACAGAGATACAGCACTGTCACTTGCGGAACCAACCCGCTTTGGCCAACTTTTAAAAACTATAAAGAACTATACAGCATGGTCCCTAAGCACTTATTTAAACTAATTATGCAAACTAGAACCAATGTTGGTTGGTTCCATTTAGCAAAAATTGTTACAAAATTTTTATAACTAAACAGAACCAAAGATTGTTTGCTTAGTGGAAATCAGGTTAGTCTTGAAGGAACCATGTAGCATAGTTCTTGATAGTGTTAAAATTAAGCTATTTAAAAATAAAAAATCCGTTCTTATCGTTGCGTTTGTACCTTTATCATAAAAAATGTCTTAATAATAACAAAATTTGATGAATAAATTTATGCATTGAAAAACTCTACTCGAAAAAGATGAAACGAAGCAGTATGAATAGTATGATCTATGACCTTAGCCTGTTCTTCAAAACGAAATAACGACGTTGACAGCTCATGAATGAGACGATTCTCGATGACTCTCGAAAACAGCTTGTAGACATGGCTCAGAAGTGAGATGGGTCTATAATTCTTCAACAAGGTTTTGTCGCCTTTTTTGAAGAAGAGTATCACCACATTACTGTGCCATGCCGTAGGCGTTTTTTTGCTCAAGGATGACAGAATCAAACAGCTTCTGAAGAATCTTTAGTACCGGCGTCCTCTGCTTTCAGAAGCTCAGCCGTGATTCCATAATCACTCGGTGCCTTGTTATTTTTCAGCTGTTTGAGAGCCATTCTAATCTCGTACAGGCTGACGTCCGGGATATCTTTGGTATAGTGTCGGGTCAATCTAGCTCTTGGGTTTCAAAACGACACACACAATTTCTACAAAACCCTGAAAAGCAGCAACATAGAAGACCATATCGACAGTATTACCGGGCCTATCGATTTTGAGGTAGAAGACGATAATAATAGTGATTTTAGTTTGAAGGGTTCGTGATTCCAATTCACTATCTAATAAAAGGCATTAAAATCTATATTTTATATAGAATGACTTTTAATTTTAGATATATCACAACAATGAAATCTTACATCCATTTTGCAAGAAGGAACTAAGCAACAAAATATGTTTTTGCAAGAAAGAACCAACCGGTTTTTAACGATTTACTTTAACTTTAACTTTACAAAATTTATAAATCTGATATTCCTAGATAGGCTGCAGTATCCCACATAAGATTAACAAGTAATCATTCATTTATATATTATGTATGCATTTTGCGCACTCTTTTTACAAAAGTCTCATTTTCTCGAAACCACCCTGCTGTGGGTTGGTTCTTGTTTGCATAAATGGGTCCAATTATACAATTATAGCTGTGTAATGTAGGTGTCTGATATCTCTCTATCAGCAGTTTTATGTTTCTTCCGGTCACCTTATAAAATAAGTATGTGTTGTAGAAGTTTAGAACATAGGTACATAGTTATTAATGTATTTACGTAAACTTGAAGGTATTGTATAGACAATACCTTAAAGTTTAAATAGTTAAATAAATTGAGGGAGTTGTATAGCAAGTTTTATAACTTTATCAATTAAATAATTACTATTTTCTTTATTATTTTTCAACATTTACAGTACAGTAGAATCCCGATTATCCGGATCAATTAAAACCAGTGGTGGTCCGGATAATCGAAAATCCGGATAATCGATTTCAAAGTAAAATCAAACAATAATTAACTTTTTTCAATAGAAAGGGTTTTCAATACATCATTTTAGTCTAAAAATCTAAATTTTAGACCATTGGTCATCCATTTCTTTTAACAATGAACCAAAAAGACGTCCGTACCATGTTACGGTGGCGGCGCCTTCGGTTTTTATGGGTCCAGATCCTGAATCGGTAATTAGAAACCATGAAGAATGAGTCCGGATAATCGGATATCCGGATAATCTAAGTCCGGATAATCGAGATTCTACTGTATAAACTAACCTTCAGTTATTTTGTTCATTTTATAAAATATCTATTACAGTTTACATTACTTAATATGGCTTTGATATGTAAAATGTTATGCAGAATTTGAATTTCTTGTTTAGATACCATTTCTAAACTTTTAACTTCTGCAGTTCCAGTGATGTTAGCGATTTCTAACATTTAGTAGAATATGCTTTTAACTGGCAACCCTGAAGAGGTCTCGTTCAGAAATCCAAAACTGCACATTTTCTAATTTGTCGCTATTATTGATTTTTACAGAAAGAAAATGTTTTGTAACTATTTTGATAAAAATGCTATATTTTTATCATTTTAATTGTCGTTTCGGATCGTTGCTTATCTTATCTTTTTTTTTTTAATCTTAAACAGACTTTGAGTAAACTAGCGTAAATATTTTTACATTGACGTTTTATACATTATGTCAAATTTCAGAACGTTTTACGTCGTCCATTCAGTCGGTCTCGTAAAATGTAGACGACAATTATTATAGTTGTTTTCAATCCAAAGTGCGCGTAATATCTTGTGTTTTACCGATAAATTCTTGACGTGTGTGGACAAATTATAAACCGCAACCATGGCTTCCACCTTCATGAATACGCGGAAGGAAATAATATTTACCGGAAAGTACAAGGTGATGAAAAAAATCGGAGGCGGGTCCTTCGGGGATATATATTTGGCGATCAACATAGGTAACGGCGAGGTAAAGCATATTTTTAACATAGTTGTTCCGTATTATATCGAAACGACGTAAGGCCGTACGAAATGTCTCGTCTCGCGCGTATTTCCGCGCGGGGTGGGGGGGATTGCTGATTATTGCTATGACGTACATCTAAAAAACAATACGACTGCATCGACTATCTCCATAACATAATTTCTAGGTCAATAGAATCCATAAAAGAGCATGGTACTATCTACTGTGCATGCCTTAGATATAATCTAGTGCATGCCTGTGTGGTGGATGATATTATAAGAAAGTTTCTGTAATTGTGGCCAATCAATAATAAGATAGATAAGTTTTATCTGTCTACATTTTGGAAAGATTGCACCATTTTGTGATTCATTGATTAAACATGATAAACAGATTTGCACATTTAAAGGACATCTTGGAGAAAATATGCAAATTATAGTATGTTATCATAACATAATTTAATGTAAATATTGTTTAAAATAACAACAATTATATTTTCACATCAAACTTCATAGTGTTGTACATAATTATGTACCTACATACTGTATAGAATCTATTTTATTTGTTCACTGTTGTGTGGTTCTTTATACGCATGATGCACATACATTGTCCTGTAATGTTCTGGTCAAGCAGGGTAGAGACAACAATAGACATTCAACTTGACTCAAGGGATTTTTTGGCATTAAAAATAGTGTTAATTATTTATGCATTATTTTTCTGTTACGCATAATGTATCATAATTACTAAAAATGTAAAAGTAATACATAATTAACTACCTGTTTATCAACTAAAACTTTATCACTAGAATTGCCTTATCTTTATCTCTTTGATTGCAATTAAAATAAATGTAAGGACTCAAATATCACTCACTACAATTTTCTCACTTAGCATTATTTATTTTATATTTTAAGTTTTGATTGATTTTTTTTGTAGTTTTTTAAAATAAATTTCACATCAATACAAGTGAAATTGTTAGGTGCATCTTCGATACAAAAAAGAATCGAGATTTTTCCCACAATTGTCATCTCATCGTACTCAACATCAACATTCTCTTTCATTACTTTTCTTGAGTAGATATTATTATGTTTTCCTAAGCTTTTTAATAACTTTTGTAATAGGTACTTAGTCCCTTCATGATTAAAATATGGTGTAAATATTAGAAAAAGTTTTGATTCTCGCATAAAAACAAGAGAAATAAACTTACACGAGTCAATATTTTACCTAACATAAAAGCTTATTTGTTACAATATCTTGTTGAATTAGAAAAACTGCTGTTGTGACCATGAGTCTAATTTTTGCCTAGCTGCATCGTCTTACATAACGCGAACCTGGAAATAACGTCTTCAAAATATTGTGTCAACAACATTGTATTTGTAACGTTTAGGTATTTTATGTTATATTACAATCTTCATAATTGCCTAGTTTAAAAACTATTTATATCGTAGAGCGCATCGCATTTATTATTTTAAAAAACACTCGGCGTCAAATAAATTACACCTTTCGCGACAAGCACTTATTAAACTTATGCATCCCCACTTCCCACCAATATTGGTACCATATGAAAGCCTACTTCTAAACTTCATTTCATTAAAGGAAAGGCTCCAAAAATATGTCTTTAAAAGGATCCAGAGTCTCTTATTAAAGCGACAGGTAGTTGACTCAATTTTTATTTTATGGCTATTAAACTGTTAAATTGGGATTAATCGCTACCCATCTGTTAAAGAGGACACGTTTGGTTTTATAACCACAAAAATTGGTCCCAGAAATGAGCCCCAAGTGAGGCCTTTTTTCAAGTCACATTATGGTACCTGATAATTAAAAAAAAAATGTGTCTTTCTTTAAGTTTATTTAATGTGCTTTCAAATAACACCAATATTGTTGGGCACCATGATTGTGTCAGAAGAAAAGGAAGGTGCGATTTATTAGATGTTGAGTGTATTACATTTTCAGCAAATTTTTGTCCAAGGGCGTTTTTAATATCGTGCGAATTCATCACGTACGCAGGATTGTCCCGCATGCGTAACACCCGCAAGATTCCTTTTCATACAAGTATTTATTGTAATGCGTATCTGTTTTGTGTTATACATTTTTCTATTTTAATTTATCTTCTTTCATTTATGCCTTGAGTGTACTTCTAATAATCTTAAGCCGAATTTTTATGTAAACAAACGACTATGGTAAACAACGAATACGTAGCTGTTATTATTTTTGTTTACCTAGCAGCCTTTGCAGGCTTCGCCCACCGTGAATTATTTTGGTCTGCCAAAGAAAAACAAAAACCGGGATAAAACTAGTATCCTTTGTTTTCACTGAGTTCTGTCTGGCTCTCCCCCCTTTGTTTACCAAAATAATTGAAATTGGTTCAGTGGTTTAATCTTAAAATAGTAATACACTGGACGGTTATTTTCGTGTTTTACAATATTTAATAAAGATTGCTGAAATTTTTATTCAATAACACTAATTCACCGATGTTTTTGCTACAGTACGTATTTTTTTATTAATTTAAAATCGATAGTAGTTTCTTTTTGGTTCAACCATGGTAGAATATTTCAGTCCAAATCTGGCAACACTGCCATTGTGACGTCACGTAAAATAGGCTGACGACATCTTTTTAGACTTCGCAATAGAATGATTTTCAGTGGATTTTCGTAGTGATTCTACGTTTTATTGTGTTTTTAAAAAGTAATAAACGTTAAATTTTATTAGTTTGTGTTAGATTCGCTCTATGCAATGGGCGATTTATAATTTTGTGACTGCGAGTGATGTATGAAGGAAAGGAAAAAGAAAATGGCTACCTTCGAACGCATGTTGTTGGCCAGGAAACATGTAATCATAAGTGAAAAATACAACGTTGTACGCAAAATCGGCGGTGGAAGCTTTGGAGATATCTTTTTAGCGATAAATATCAACGATGGAGAGGTAAATACATGCTCAAAAACTATTTTCCAATCGATGCTCTTTCTTACATTACGATGTCTTGTCAATTTATTTCGGGAATTTTGTTCTTGAAGATGGCGGTCTGGGCGTATACTTGGTATTATTTCCGAGTATACAATACAGTTAATCCGTTTTATGACTCATTTATGGCATAGGCCTTCGGTCTGGCCCTTTTACGTAATTGGGGCTTCAGTATTATGAGCAGCCATGAATCGACCTGTGTGAAAGGAATCCTTTGTCATACAAATCGTGTCTTTTATTTTCATTTTCTCATGTATTTTGTTGTCTGCAATCTTTAGGTATAACATTGTTATTGTGTGATGCTTGATTCTATTGAAATTCATGTTAGTAAATACCTATACAAGTACATAACTATTGTAGTTACATGTTATATCAATATTCACCTGGTGCCAGTCTAGGTATGTATATATACATATATGTTAACATATATGTTAACAGTGAATCTGGGGTAGGCTCGTCAGAAAGCTTTAATCAATAATAGCAGTTGTGATACAGATTGCTGTACACATACAATGTATCACAGTGTATCTGTTTTCTCTAACATACTCATTGTTACATAAATAGTAATGAATAGATACAAATCTTCAATTTATCAGAAATATAGCCTAACAGTATGATATTTGACTAGTTGCAGTTTGCTTGTAAGATGAGACAAATTTGCGTTTCAAACTGCCTGCTGTTCTATCAAAAACCACCAACAATTTGATTGCTCAACCGAGAAAAAACATTTCTTGACCACATATCATTATCCTTTTCACTTGCTTATAATACTGATGGTGACCTACTTACATGCATTGTTATAAATTGTTACTGTGGCAACTAAAACATTAATGTTTATTTGTTGAAATCAGTTTTTAAAGATTTTCTAGATAGGGTAATTGCGCCGGTTTTCCGTCCAGCTCCTGTTTTCGTCCATTTGACCGACTTGCCACAAACAAATACGGAAAATTAGAATACGAACCTAACTTTCCGTGCAAGTTTGGAATTGTTACAATCTATAATATCTAAGTAACAGTTCTGCCTGCATGAAAATGTAATTTGACAAGTAATAACTCCAAAAAAATCTACGGAAGTTGCTGCTGCACACAGGTGAATGGAAAACGTCGTCAAGTTAGAAAAAAAACGTGCCGGTAGGGAACTTTCATTATATGTTTAATTACTGTTTTAGCTACTTTACGTAATGTTTTTGGCACGTATGTCTAATTATTAGCATAATAAACACTATTTTAAGGGTTTATTAAAGTTTTTGTATAGAAATCTTAGATAATTAAGTGGACTAATACAAGCATAACAATTTTGCAAGATTTTGGTTTTCGTCCACGTGGACGGAAACCCTGACACCTAGTTAATATTTTTAATAATCATTTTACTTCAATGGACCTACAAAATACAATGTTTTTTCTTCCAATATGATCTTTATTGCTATTACAACAAACATTTTAGTTTACGTCCACTTTTTAACAGTGATAAACCCATAAAAACCGTTAAAAAGATGTGGACGAAAACAAAAAACAGCTTTAAACGTTGTTGTGTTTTCGTCCATGACGTCATGAGCAAGCACTGTGGTGGACGAAAACCAAAATTAGCTATTCCTGTAGATTAGTTTTCGTCCATTTATCCTTCGACCTATTGAAATATTTTCCTAAATTTAGGTAAGAAACTTATTTAAATCTTTTTGATATCATTTGAAAGCTAACAAAATTACCTTTCAAATGATATACCACAATCCATAGTTATTGTATTTTAGAATTGGTTTTAAGTTAATAATTCAACTGCACCCTTTTTTCTACACAGTGGTCGAAAACTAGCGTATACTAGGACGAAAACTGATTTTTTTGGACGAAAACTAGTGAAATCGCCTCTTTTGCATAAAATATTTTTTATAAAAAAACCCGTGGTATTTACTTATTGTCATATAATATTAATGTAAAGTAGACTATATAAGGACTAAAATGACATATGATACATATGAGTAAGGGTATTTTAAGATATACATTTCGCATCACAAAGTTGGCAACTCCGATAATTGGACGAAAACTAACGCACTTACCCTAGATATTAGATTATTTAGATAGATCTCAAGTAAATAATTGTAATTTTATTTATTTCATTCCTGTTATATTTATATTATTTACTTTTGAGTATTTGGCTAGCTGATAAGATAATCATAATTAAATTTGTGCCATAAAATATTGATATTGATGAATTCTCGCAACATGTTCTTCTGTTTACTGCAGAGCAAAGTCTAAAACACCCTTAACCCGAAGCATTCATTTAGGTTGGTTTATTTATATCATAGGATTTATTTCAATTCAAAATAGTGACCTTCTAAATTAGGAACAGATAGTACAAGTGTAATTTTGTTATTGAGACCATCTTTTATTGTAAAAACAAGTGCAAATTGCAATAATGATGTATTGTATTTTGGAGGCCTCCACAGCCACAGTTTGACTGAAGGTTCTTCCATATTCTTTAGGTGCAATAAAATACTGTAATGTACAGATAAAGGCACATCATGTATTGGTTTATTCCACTATGATCACCTGGATCCAGGTGACACTTTGGTGTCCTTTGATCACCTATGGATAAGAAGTCCACTTTGATCACCTTGGTGAAATCACCAAGTGTCCTTTGATCACCCATGGGTAAAATTATCCATGGGTGATCAAAGGACACCAAAGTCGCTGGGTCAAGTCACCTGGGTGATTAAATCCAGGTGATCAAAGTGGAATAGACTGTTGTACGAGGTGTGGCTATTAAATAACGAGACTGACGCTGTAAAACATTTTATTTTGATTTCATACTTTTTTACATATTATCACCATCAATATACACCCTTCCTCTATCCCTACAACGCTCCATGCGAATCTTCCATTGTTCGAAACAGTGCTGGAAGTCTTCTTCTGTCAGCTCCTTCAGGACGCGTGCCGCTTTCTCTTGCACAGCTTCAACAGACTCAAATCTTGTTCCTTTTAATGCAGATTACACCTAAGGAAACAGATAGAATTCGCACGGCGCTAGATCCGGCGAATAAGGCATTCAAAGTGCCAATACAAACATTTTTGCGAGCTTCTTGTTGTTCAAACGTGAGAATTTTAGGCACCATTTTTGCACTCATTTTTTGCATGTGTAAAATTGTTATGTAATATTTGCCGTACGGATTCTTTATCAATTCGTACAGTTTTAGCAATCGCACGAATACTTAACCGACGGTCAGATCGTATTAGATTACCGATTTTTTCGATATTTTCGACGTGGAAGGGCGACCCGGGCGTAAATCATCTTGAACGTCTTCTCGGTCGTTTTGAAAACGCTTAAACCACTCAAAAACACGTAAACGCGATAGACATTCATTGCCATACACTTCTTTCAATAAATTTTAAGTTTCAGTAGTGGTTATTCCAAGTTTCATATGAAATTTCGCAAAAATTCGTTGCTCTACTGTACTACACTTAACATTTTTCCGGCGAAACAAAAAAACAACTCTGATGCGAACGAAAGCTACGGCTATACTGATTTGTTTACAGAAGCGAGAGGCACTTCATTCGAAAGAGAAGGCTTCAGGATAACAGTTGTTGGTTGCTGGCGTTTGGCGTATGCGCACTACTCCTGTAGCAGCGTCAGTCTCGTTATTTAATAGCCACACCTCGTATTAGGTACAAAACTAGTTTTTGTTCATCATCAAAATCTTGGTATGTCAAAATAGTATTTCTATCACCCTTTGTATGGGAGTTTTTACAACAGTTTTTCTATGTCCACTTCTCAATACAATACCAAAACGTAATCAGTTCACCAGTTAAAATATGAACTTGTAGTAGATAGGTACTATTAAATTTAATACTCTAATTAGATATAAATATTATGATTATTTTTTGCAGTAAATAGGCCTATAATTAATTTTATTATAGGTACCAAACTACCAACCATGTTGTATGTTATTATCCTCATCATGTGTTTACTTAAACCATAAATGCATGAATTTATGTAATAATTATTTTCTGTGTAGGTATATGGGGAATCCATATTTATTTCTGGGTTCTCCATAAAAATATAAAGGTCAGCAACATGATATCAAATCTCATCTAACTTTATCAAGTTAATTAAAAAAAGCCAAATTAACAAACAGAAAGTGTAACTTGACTTATTGCCCATTTAGTCTAGAATTTCACTGTCATTTTTAATTATTTCATACTAAATGTGTAAAATTGAACTAATTACAGTACTTTTGTTGTCTGGAAGAGATCCCTTTATAGCTATAAGACCGCCTAAATTGAGCCGCATCTTTTGTTTTCTTTGTCTTGTGTGATGTACTATTGACGCCCGTATTCACAAACGATGCTTGCTTAAGTGCAGCAGCAAATCGAACGCACAGCTTAGAGAATAGAGCTCTGTTACTGGTTCGTGTGTCACCCTGTACATCCACGCGCACTGTGAGACCTCATAGTAATGTTTGTGAATACGGGTGTAAGTGTATTCTATCTTTCGACGTCAGGGATGGATGAGCGTCGCTGTCGCTCGCGACAGGGTCTTCTGGTTCAGGGTTCATGGCGTAGGTCTCAGGAAAAATGAAATCCACTCGTAGAAATTAATAAACTCAATGTATTGACATATCTATCTAGTACTAGTAGAAGTTGTTTATGTATTTTGTATTGAAAGTGTGTTTTGTTTGTCGTAGGAGGTAGCAGTCAAGGTTGAGTCCATAAAGGCGCGGCACCCACAGCTTCTCTATGAGAGCAGAGTGTATAAGATGCTCCAAGGGGGCATCGGCATACCACACATAAGGTGAGTTGATTACATAGGCGGCGCCAATAGAAGCTGCAAATTTGTCTAACATAAAGCCGAATAACATTAACACGAAGCTGTCGATCTTGTAAGAGAATGCGCATTTTTATTTGCAGTGTTTAGTACTCTCAAAAAGTCTGTAATAAATTAGCTGTGCCGCGACTTCGTACGCGTGAAAACCCGTTTTAGCAACATTTTTCATTATTGCTCTGCTCCTATTGATGGTAGCGTGATGTTGTATAGCCTATAGCCTTCCTCGATAAATGGGCTATCTAACACTGAAAGAATTTTTCAAATCGGACCAGTAGTTCCGGAGATTAGCGCGTTCAAGATAAAGATNTGCGTCGCAGGGCGCGTCACATGACATTTAATTTAATTCTTTTGTATAATTTCTTGAATCACGAAAAATTGATTCTGTTGCATGCCGATATGGTATGATGTAGCTGAACAATATATTTTTTTATGTGACCTATAATATGTACCTACATTATGCAATAAATGATTTTGATTTGATTTGATTTGATTTGACGAAAATGATACGATTTCTCAGAACCTCGTAAGTAAATAAGCAAAACAAGATCAATGACAAAATAAATGTTTCAAATAAGGTATAAGTAGGTAGCCATGCGCATGATATAACAAGGTTTAAAAATGGAGATTGAAGAAAATTGAAGATCAATTGCTTTCTCTCTGACGCACCTACGTGTAACGATGCGCCCGCGCGCCTGTGGAATACTTAGTACAGTCTGCCGTTAAATTATGGCGTAATTTTCAAACTGGAGTAATCGATCGTAAATTCATAGAATTGAGAAAATTAATTTTATTGAATCTACATTTATGTGTATTTTAAAGTTTATTCTTTTATTCTAACTACATACCTACCATACAATTTCATATTAGGTAACCCCTGAGCAAAGCCGAGTACCGTCATAAAAACATAAGTATTAAACGCAATAAATCTTTGAGAGCTTTTCGTAAAATGTATCCTAGTGACATTAAAATTTGATCTGAAGAATTTTGATCTAAATGGACAAGGTTTTGGAACATTATCAGAAAGATTAGAAAGCAGTACAAACATTTTATTGTTGTACATACCGTTTAATACAAAAGTGACGAAAATAGCCACTTTTTTGTCGCCGAGTGTTTGCCCATTCATTACCTTGCGTCAACATTATCATAATGATGCGCGGGATTCGTTTCGTATTACACGCGGATATTTGCGCACTTTGCGTCTGTTTTCACAACGATCAGCTTCGACTCGTCAAGGAGGTATTAGAGATGTTTAGTTATGCTAACATAAATAATTCAAACTCCTCAATTTGCAAATCGTGAAAGCCTACAATTGAAATTAGTGGGTATTGTTGGGTAACTACTTACTATTTGGCGTAAGTACGTATAAATTTTTAGTAGTCCTTTCAATAAAGAACTGTATTTGTAAAGAAAACATTTTACGATTTTTTTCGTTGAATATTAAGATTTGCAAATTTATTAACGAGCAGCTTTATCATAGTCTAGTTACTAACGACAATTTGCTTTAAATATTTGATTTAACACAAACCTTTTGCATCATTGGAAGAGTAAACTAACGGCATCATAAGTGTAATGACATAACTGTTAAAATTACTAAATGAGATATTATTGTTCACTCTTAATATACTCTGCACTACAGAAACTTCATACATGATTACACAGCGCAACACATGTTGGTCCAAAAATAGACCCTTGGAGAACCCCCTCATTCGCTGTGTCTGACTAACGCATTAGCGATTCGCAAATAGATCACAAGTTGAATAAGAATGGCGCTTAGAATTCCATACGCAGTGGCAAACAGGAAATTTTATAGGATTAATACGTCGCTGGAGTTTTTACGGAGCATTCGTCATCATAGACTATGACTTCAACAAGTTGAATAATATTTATCTATGTCTCAATATCATTAGAGAACGCATTATTTTTGCAAGTTTATATTTTACAGTATTGATTCTTGGTTTTATCCTGTACTTTTCTGATTAGGCCAATTATTCTTAATTTTTTTAGCTTTGAGAAGTGGATAATAAAGGTTGAATTCCATTGTCTAGTTTTCTGCGTCGGTTATCATGGCGTCTTTTCATCGGGCAATAAATTCAAGCTTTACAATTTTACATACCTACTTATGTTAGACGTTTCATGAAGGTTTATGCACAAGAAAACAGAACAGCTGTTTGTGTAGTCAGGAGGTGCTCTTACTTAATGTTTGTGATGTTGTGTTTCGCCTCTAATGAAGTTGCAAAACAGATGTTACCACTAATTAAACTAATTAGCTCTGCTAATAGGCACTCTCGAGTTAATTTTAGAACTTCTAATTATTACGTATGCAGCGTTTGTTATCAGCGGTCTTATCTGTTTAATTTGTGACTATCGCTCTCTCGCTGAGAACCTAATTTTGATTATCATACGGGCTCATGTGTGCACGGTACATGTGTGCACACAGCCTTGTCTCCGCTACCTCAACTGCGATATCAACGCTTACTCAACCGATAACACACTCAGAGCACGCATCCTATTATTGAAATAATGCCTATGTTAACACGAGCTCATTTGGAGCTTGAGAACTTGCTCGACAACTATACAAAATCTCCAGACAAGTTAAAGGTACTTGAAGATATAACACTCTCATTAAAGAAAGTCATAACGCCGAATGCAGCGGAAAGCATATAATTACATCGCAGAACAACCATAAATACGCCATTAAGCACCTTACCGAATATTACAATTTTAATTAACACTTACGCGGATTCGAAAGTCTTAACGCGCGGCCTTGGTACCGAGTAGCGATTTAGTGCTGGCCAATTTGTCGATTTCCACAAAGTTATCGATAACGTGTGGTTTTTAGGACGTGTCACACGGCGACCCCCCGCCGGGCGAGCGCGGCCGCGCGCGCTCAGTCAGTGGCAAGCGAGTGCGCGCACAGCACGAGCGCGTGCGTCGTTCATTCACCCCGAGTTCACGATCGACCGTCAACTGTCAAAATCTGACGTTTCGTAACAATCCGCCGACGATTACCGCCGAGACGCCCCCGGCTTTGCCGAAACCGGCGCGTCTACCCGCGTTTTATGTTATGGCGCGAGAATTTTTCGTATCAATGATCCGAGTCGCATAAATGTTTTGACGTTCCGCGTCGGCTGTGCTAGTGATGTGATGTTTTGTGTTGTGTGAAACGCAATCTGTTAGTGTTGTTATGCTGTTATCATGCTGCATTGATGTCTTTCGACGCTGATATGTCTATAATTAGCGAGCTGAGATGGCTGCGGGACGACGAATTGTTCGCTCTTTCGTTGCAAAACGGTAAGTGTGACGTGAGGCTTCTTATTGTTGTCAAAGTAGGTGTGGGACATTATTCAGTGCCCGTCTGACTCGTTTTCTTCAGTAAACCGATTGTTCTAGTTAAAAGTGCAGCCGCGTCCTAATTACTAATTCTACAAACAACAAAACTGCTTACGACGGAATAACAATCACTATACCTACAACAAGTGCCTGTGAATTGTTTCGATCCACTTAAAGTTCAATACACTACAACTTGTAGTCTACAAGTCACTACTGAATTAATTAACTTTAACATTATTTGTGTTTCGCTTCGCCCTTATCATATCAAGTAGGTAGAAGTAAATAATTTCTCACGCAACCATGACTGATAAAAAGTGTTAGGAGCACATAAAACCAACTAAGAAGACAATATCGAATGTTGTGATCTCGCTTCGCGTTTGACACTGTGCGAATTGCCGCGTGACACAGAGGCTGCGCCCGCGCCGGTAGGTGAGTAGGAAATAGCGCCCAAGGTGAGCTAGATTCCGGTCGCCTGTTTACACAGCTCGAAGACTTCATTACTGCACTTGGGTCCTCACTTAAGATCAAACAACCAGTCATTTTCTCTTAAGTATTCCCTTTAATAAAATTTTGTTGCACGCAATTTTGTTTACTTCAAATCTGCAATCTAAACATTGAAAAGATAATATACATCTTGGGAAGTAAAAACGACATCAATAAATCGCAAAAATATAAAACCGTTAGTAGATATTAATACACTCGTTTCACTTCATGCGTTTTGCTGATATCGTAATTGTTTTTTTTTTATTTCGCAGCCTAATAAATTAGCCTAACCATTGAATTTACATGTAGTAATCAAAACTATTACATAGTATTAGTGATTCTATTTAAGGAAATATAATATGGAAACCCTGAAATAGTTTCAGTGCCTACACTAAATTTAATATGAAATTTAATATTAATATGAAGCTGTTACTAAGTGAAATAATTTTATCAATATTTTCCATTGCTGTAGGAGTAAAGTTACTTTAAAAAGATCCTTTTGTCGGCACAAAAGAAAAATTCGAGTCAAATGACTTCATTATGCAAATCTAGAAATTAAAAGTTATCGCGTTTTTACAAGTGGGTGCGTTTTAGTGTTTTTAAATGGTTTCTTTTTGGTTGCTATCTTGTTTTGTCAGTCTCGTCTTCATTTAGTTTTTATTGCATAACAGTAGGATCACCACAAATGTTCACAGTAACTTCGTTAACACGTTTGAACAAGTATCTATCTCACGTAGAAACGTTTGTAACTATCCTTTGTTGTAGCATTGACCCAATTCCCCCAGTTTCTAAATCACACAAACCTCCAAATAAGACAAACAAAAAGTTTAAGGCGTCATAAAAACTAGTAACGTTTACGTCAGCCGATGAAGAAACGCCACTTTGTTCGGTTATTGAGATGTTAGCGGCATCTGTTCGGCTATTTATGTAATCATACGTAAACTAAACCGTAGTTGCTACTGCGGGAGGTTTCAAAACTGTCTCTTAGAGGATGACTCACAATAAAATCATTTCTTCGACTACAACAGTTTCGGAGAATACTAATTCTAAAAAGTTTCATTTTGAACTTTCCAAGAAATATGTAGGTAAATTTCCCGATTTTCAATTAAGTGTTCTGTTAGGTCAACAGAATGTAAAGCAGATGGGTCGTTCAGACACCTTCGAAGTTAA